AAAAACCAAAAAAAAAAAAAAAAAACAAAGGCGAGCTTTCTGTTATACTGTAGTTTACCACAATAAAAATATGCCAATAGGCAAAAGAAAATGTATAGGAATAGGAAAAAAAGCAAAGATTGCAGCTAAAAGAATAAAGGAACAGAAAAAAATTAAAGAACCACTACAGCCTAAATAATGAAGTGACACCCGCACATCAGTACCTTTCTACACACTGCATCCGGGAGAGGGGAGGCCGACCTCTCTGGTTGCGAGACTCCCGCGCAGTGAGTCTGGCTCCTGACGGCTGAAAGATACAAATCCCATTTAACCAACTATCAAACTTGCTACTGATCTTGAAAAACTGGTATCACATCTGGGATCAAAGAGCAAAAAATTCAAGCAGTTTAATACCATAAACAAGCATTCCTGGTCGGGGCAGACAACTGGAGGATTCCATAGCCGCTGGAAGCAGCACACACCTTAAAGCACTGAGAGACACAGTGACTCCTACACAGTGATTTTAATGGGCTTGGAGAAGACTGCTGAAGAGGTTGTTTTCCAATAAATCCAACAAAGCTGAAAGTTCTGTTGTCAAAGCTTTCAGAAACTTGAACCAGAACTTGGTCCAAAAGGAGACCAAGCTCATAACTTCATTTGCTTGTGCCTCTATTGGCCATCCAGTAGTTGTACAATGGACGCTCAATGCAAACGTCCGAAACTGTTTTCCTAACATCTGGAACGAACCTATGGCACGAGTGCCACAGCAGGCTGTTGGTTATCACTGACACCTCTAAAAGGTTCGCCATCACCAACACAGACATTTCTGGGAGGAATCTAAACAGTACTTGCAGTGCGAATGCCGCCAATTCACAGATGGTATGTTCTCCCCCAAAACTCATATTTAAAGTTTAACCCTCCTGGTACAAGTGGAGCATCCCTCATCCAAAACATCTGAATTTTAATTAGGGGTGCTCAACCAGTGAAGTCTATGCAAATATTCCACAACCTGGGACACCAGACCTGAACTTAGAGTAGGACTCTTGAGAAGTAATAAGGTCATTTAGATCATGGGGTAGCACCCTCATGAAGAGGATTAGTAGCCCTGGCTTGGGTGGGTTCCTTCTTTGACTCTCTGACCCTTTCTCCCCAGCCCCCTCCTGGTCTCCTGTCCTTAATAAGAACAGCCGCCCGATACTAACACCTCAGTTTTAAGACAGTAAGAGATCTATAATCAGATTAAATTCAGTGTTAACTCCAGTCTCCCCAACTAAAAAACATGGTATCTCCATCTCTCTTAAGAGATTTATCTCATATAATGTTCAAAGTGCATGTGTTCATTAAGCATTCTTGATAAAAATGACTTACACTAAAAAGTATCCAAAAAGTTGTCATACCTTTTCATCTTCCCACTGAAAAAAATTACAATCTTTTCTATCTCTACAGGCGGAACAGGCATAAAACCTCCGTGCTTCCTCCTTCCCTTGGCTCACCTTTACAAACAGGAGGGTAGGTCCTAGTTCCAGAATAGGAAAAAAACATGACAAACAATAGCAATCTGCATCAAGTTCTTAGCTTTCATTATCTTAAATAAAACTTGTTTAGACTTTACGCACAACTTACAATAATAATATTTCTTCCTCAGTCACAACATTCAGGTACTAACCACTTAGAAATAATTTAAGAAAAGTGGTCTCCTGAGAATGAAAATGCTATCAGCAGTACAGTTGTCCACACTGAATGTCACAAATATGGGTCCTCCAACTCCCCACGATGAATATAACCACTGTGTACTGCAAACATATACAGTACTAATAAAATTTTAAAAAGAAATCTGAGAGGGGCGTGGTGCCACAGGCCTGTAACCCCAGCACTCGGCAGACTGAGGCAGGAGGATTGCTTCAAGTTCGAGGCAGCCTGGCCCACAGGGTGAGTTCAAGGCCAGCCTGAATTGCATAGTGAGACTCTGTCTCAAAAAACGAAAAAAAAAAAATCTGAAAACAAAACAACGGAAGTCCGGAGAATCGAGAGCTCTGCCATCTCCGTCTCCAGCATCTCCTGTACAGTTATTCTCTTTTTTTCTTTTTGAGACAGGGTCTCACTATGCAATTCAGGCTGGCCTTGGCCAGGCTGGTCTCAAACTCGCAATGATCCTCCTGCCTCAGCCTCCCGAGCGCTGGGAGTACAAGCGCGCGCCACCACGCCTGGCTTAGCACAGTTACTCTTTCAGAGTTGGACACATCCTCTCTACACAAGTTTAAAAAAAAAAACTGGCTCTGGGCATTTTTCAACACCATGCATCCCTTTCCCCTACCCTCCGCCCCTTCCTCCAAAACAGATATAACAGCCCTGCAAACAAAACCCCTAGAGGAGGGACTTCTCAGGTTTCCCAGGTAAGGTGAAAAAATAGCATCCCGAAAAATCGGTGCTTTTTTATGCATCACACACGGTGGGGAAGAGAAGCACAGGAAAATCTGCCAGGGAAAAAGTCCTAAAAGCCCATGGCACTGCCAGACAGCCCACAGCTCTGGCGCCAGCCAGCTCGGCTGAGCCCAGACGCCGACCCACCGTGCGGGCAAAGCGGGGCGGGGACGGCAGGATCCGACAGGAGCACCACCTCCACTCCGGAGCTCCCCCGGCCCCCCGCGCTGGGCTCTGCTTCCCCAGAGCACGGCGCGTCGCCGGGGGCCGCCATCTTTCCGCCGCCGTCCCAAAAGCCTCAGTTCGCACCAAGGAGGCGAAGGAAGAGCGCCGCCGAGAGCCGCAGGGACCCACAGCGCCCCCGCGCGCCTGGGAGGAGCCGGTCGCGGCCGCAGGGGAGCCATTGCCCTTAACGCAGTCGCTGTGGTCCTCGGGCCTAGCCCTTAAGTGATCCCTACCCCTGAGACTCTTGGTTAGACCTGTAGCAAGAGATCCCCTGTGTCTGCCTAATCTTCAGTTCCTGTAAACACTCTTTTTTTTCAAAACAATATAACCAGGAGATGAGATGAATCTTCGGAATATGGCTTGGTTAGGTGAGAGGTCCAAACCAGACAAATACCTGAAAAACTAAAATAGCTAAAATAGTTGAAACAGCTTCCACAGCTGCACATGATAGAACCCTCTATTTTTACAGAGTCACAGTGCCATCTTGTAATTCTTGGACAACGTTTATAGTTGTACGTTATAAGTGGATACCTGTTGACATTGGTACATCAGAAAAAAAAAACTGTCACTATGTACTAATGATATAATTGTCTACAGTGCTTGGAAAATACCAAGAATGTACAATTCTCATAACTTCCAGTTTAAACTGAGTCTGGCAAGGTTGCTGGATAGGGGATAAACATACAAAAATCAACTGCATTTCCACAGGCGAGTAATGATTACATGGGCAATAAAGTGTAAAAATTACAATTGGTTGAAGAAATAAAATATGTATAAATCTAACACTAGATTTGTAGGCCATACTGTGATTGTTATGTGGAAGAAAACATAGTAAAGATGTTGATTTAGTAATTTCTATCAAGTACTCAGCCAGCTAAACATAATATAGACAGTATTATCCTGTACATTACATGAAAAGGCAGGAGCCTAGCGAAAATAATTTTTGAAAAAGAATAAAATGGGAGAATCAATCTATCCAATTTCAGGATTTATGGCTATAATAATCAAATTAGTTGTGCTACCATGACTGCCACCTGATGGCACTCAGCAGCACGATTCACTGTATCATATATCACATTTCTTAAACACAAAAGAGGACTTCCAGAACTGCTTCAGAAATTGGCAAGAACGATGGGATAAGTGTAGTTGAAGGGAGGAGGTATTTTGAAGCGATAATGACAATGTGTATTTTACTGTAATGAATTTTTTAAATTCAGTCATTCACCATAGTTTTCAATCACCTCTTATGTACACATCTGTGTGCACTTGTATAGTTATGGATGAACTGGTCAAATTCTCTTCACACTATTTAAAACACAATGGTGCACATTTTTGTATTTTTGGTTTTTTGAGACAAGCTTTTGCTATGTAGTTCAGGGTGAGCTTGAACTCACTGCATAGTCCAGGCTGGACTCCAACTTGAATTTGCAGCAATCCTCCTGCCTCAGTCTCCTGAGCCCTGGGATTACAGGTCAGCACCACTGTGCCCAGCAGCACCTGCAAATGTAACCCAACACCTTACCAAACTACAATATCTGGGAACTACAGCTCTCTTCCATTCACACTCAGGCAACAGTTACACTCATATTCAGCATGCTCACTGTGATAGCTCTGTCTTTGGTGAAATGTACACATTTCCACAGGGTCCAGCACAACTTTGCAGAAAACATTATGTGCACTCCTACATCATCTGAGCTGGAGGGTGTTCTGGTCCCATGTATATGATATTTTGGGATCTGATTTCAAGACTTAACTGCCCATTTATTTTTAAATTTCTTAAACATTCATTTACATGTGCCGATTTGTCTTCTATACAAAACTAGTTTATAAAACTTGTGATTGAATACATGAAAACACACCACCAGAAAGTCACAGAATCTTGGCTTCCTTTTTCTCTTTTAAGTATTGCTGACTCTGTCAGCCACCTCTGTAAGTGGCAGAAACCAGCATGGCCCTGCAAGTAACCAAAAGGATGGCAGGGCCAGGGCGCTCCATGGTAGAGCACTAGTCCAGCACCTGCAAGGGCCCGAGTTCAACCCGTGGCGTGAAACACAAGCACAACAAAGATGAAATAAATGAATGGGCACCTTATAATGAGAAAAATAATTAAGGTTTCAAAAATAAATCATTCCATGTGTGGTGGTGCACACCTGTAATCCCAGCACTGAGGAGGTTGCGACAGGAGGATCACTGTGAGTTTGAGGTCAGCTTGGGCTACACAGTGAATGCAAGATCAGCCTGAACTATACAGTGAGACCTTGTCTTACCTCCGCTCCCAAAAAGTAAGTCTCTTTTCTGAGGGGTAACTTTGGGGAGAAAAGTTCTCACCTGCCTGTCTTTTTTTTTTTTTTTTTTTTTTTTTTTGGTACATGTTTGCAGTACATAATGACTGATTT